ATAAATGGGCTCTAAGGCGATGAGCCAGGCACTTATGTGCCGCATTATGTGGGCACTGTACAAATTCTAAAAACAAAAAAAAACAAACAAAATATAAGGATAATAAACTAAGTAAAGCACAATTGAAACAAAAAAGATATATGACATACCATTTTCATCCATGTAAGAGTTCATGTTGCTGGAGTTGATTATGTTTCAAAGTAGAAAAGTTGGCTATACTACTTAGAAATAAGTAAAACAACTATATTCGACTAAAGCAATTCTTGCTATATTTATTTAAAGGTCCCCACTCACATCCCATGGAAAAACCGTTATTGTTTTAAAATATCCTTCTATTTGGATTCAGGAGAAATACTTGGTGGATTGCGTATTTTTTTTATTATAGAATTTATTCGTCCATTCCCATGGAAAAACCGTTATTGTTTTGAAATAACCTTCCAAATTGGGTTCAGGAGTAATACTTTTCTGGATTGTCGGTGTTTATAATTAACAAACGAATGTTTATATTAACATACAAATTGTAGAGTTTTAATGTATTCGTTGCAAGGACAAGGATATAAATTCTTCGTCATCCCAATTTTTCTCGGGGCTCAAAACTTGTGCCACCACAAGTTTTAGTTGCGCTCTTATTCTTGTCATTTCTTGTTTCTGTACATTCGCTTCCTCCTCCCATCGCCGATCCTGGTCTCTTCTCCATTCAGCGTTGTGCGCCTTAAATAGATGAGATTTAAACCAGTGGGCTAAACACTTTTGTTCTGGATTGTATGGACACTGTACAAATTCTAAAAACAAAAAAATATTAAATAATTATCAACTAAGTAAAGCACAAAGAAAAAATATATATGACACCATTTTTGTGTATAATAGTATTTCTAATATCAATGTATTCGGGTATATATTGTAAAGCTGCAGTTTCAAATTCGCCATTACTTAATGTCCTTTGGGCTCCCACTTGGCGGTACTCATAACAATCAATTGTTAATAGACGTTCGTAAACGTAGCAGTATAAGTACAACGTAGCAGTATAAGTAGGTAGAACTACTCCATCAATATACTCAAGTCGAAAATGTCTGTAGAAGGGATGATCGCTTTCAATAAGACCAGCAATTTCCATTTCTTTTTGTATTAGATTTTTTCTATATTTTTCAATAACTTCTTCAAGAGTCAACAACACTGATTCATCATTAGAAGATGCAGACAAAGTTTCAAGTGGTGTCTTTACAGTTGATGACAATAAATTAGAAACAATTTCACCGTCCGTTTGCTCTGATGTCTGCGTTTTTTCATTAAAAGTTTCACTTGATGTGATGTTCCAATTAACATCGTCGTCAGTTGTATTTTCAAAGCGAAATGCACTATATTCTGACAAATTTTTATTTGGTGTTAATAATTTAAATGCCAGTTTAATTTGAATTGTTTGTTTTGTAGGTAACAATACATTAAATTTTATTCGAGCCGTTTGATCGTTGTCATAAATTTGAATTGGTTAGGTGTATTCTTTGTAGTAGCAAAAAATAATATAAATGTTATCAGAAAAATAACTACTACACAAAACTTAAACATTTTTTGACACTTAATTGCTGTGTTGTGATCTTAGTTATGTGGTAAACTAACTGTTTAACACATTTTTTCGGTTATATTTATACGAAATCATGTAACCATGAACTATTTCTTATCATTATATATTATTCACGAATCCAAGATATATAGGTTTATCATACAATATATTTGTGAAATCAATCTTTTTTCTAATTGTCATCAATCTTTTGGTTCCAAAGTCAGTCTTTGGGTTGTTTTGGTCTCATTAGGAAATACTTTTCAGAAATCAATTGTCTTGTAGGTTGTTTCCTTTGAAGTAATTCGGTGTACGGGAGAGTGCTCTCAGTAGGGACCCGATCGTGATAGTTGTCTAGAATCTAAATTGGAGTACTGTCTTAAAATAATACTATTAAGTAATTACAATACTAATCTAATTGAATTGCTACCATATTTGGTGTAAATTGTGTAGCACTATGAAAAGTAGGTTTACTAATCAGCTCTCGAACACCTAGGTACCTTTTACTCCTCTAATGACTAGCAATTCTAACGTCTTTTCGTTTATCTACGTTTTCCATAGTTTTACCGTATACAGCATTATTCATTAATTTAAAGAAATCTTTTTCAAAATTAGTATAAGTATTTAGATCTATGTACTGTTTTAACAAAGGGGATTGTTAAAATTTTAAAATTTCGTGAACTGCAACTAATTTCAAACCATGTTCTAACCATTGTTGAAGATTTCTATAATGAATTATACATTTTCTTGTATCTGTAAAGTCGGCTATTAATTTTGGAAATTTAGAATTTGGACTGCATGTATTTTCAGCGCAGAACGGTAAATCGTTATGAATATCATGCAATTCTTTTGGATCTTTTAAAGTAACTTTTAATATATAACCAATACTTGAGTCTACTGCAATACTCATAATATCAATTTTTTTTAACTCTTCTTTAGTTGTCCACTGTATGTTACCAAACAGCTAGTATTGAGACATTGCCCAACTATACAAATTACTTATGTCTAAATATATTAAGTAATTTGAAGGTTTAGTTTTATCAGGGCCGCCGCTAGAGGTTTTGACGCCCGCGTGCACATTTGAATTTGACGCCTCTTGTTAATTTGTTAAGAAAATATGGGTATACTTACTTTATTACATAGGTGTGATACCTAAAAATATATAAGTGCCAATAAATAAAACAAAATAACAAGGACATTATTTAATCAAAAATAATTAGATTTGTGATCTTAAAAACGAAAATAAGAAAATAAAACATAGAAACTATAAATCCTTAAAGAAATTGTATTTTCCTCACTTTTATACTTGCAAACTCTGTAACCAGCTCCTTTATATCTAAATTATCTATCAGCTCTTGTTTAATTGCAATAATAGATAAGTTGCTTAACCTAGACTGAGAACCATGGTGAATCTTAAATAATTTTTGATGATTTTTAATTTAGAAAAGATCTTTCGCCAAACGAAACTGAAACTGGCAAGGAAAGTAAAATTCTTAATGTAATTGCTGTATTAGGAAAAGTAGAAATTAAATTATTTTCAAAAAGATATTAGTAGTATAGCCATGTATGTTCTGGACCACAAAATTAGGCACGGGGCGGAGCCAAATTGTGGTGGGGAATGACGGAGGCCGGATGTGGGCGGGGCTTCCAATGTGTTTCGACCAATGAGAAGCCTCGCCGTGTGTGGTGGGGGTAAAAATGGCGACGTTTTGTGTTAATTTTCGTTGGTGGGGAGCCAATCAGCGTTGTTTTTTGCTCTGCGCAAGCGCGAGAATTTGTAAGGCTCGTTTAGCCACACCTCTCGACCAATGAGAATGCTTTAAATTTTGTTAGGCACGATGTGGGCGTGCAAGTCCCCACCTGTCGACCAATGAGATTTCTCGAAAATTTTGTTAGGCACGCTAGCGGAAGGGGGAGCGGCATGTTACAATATGGCTGCCGACCAATGAGATTGCTCGAAATTTTGTTAGACGCACGCAGCACTGCACTGTGTGATCGTGGCGGGAAGATAGAAAATTGAAAAAATGTTGTTAATTTAAAATAAAATTGTTAAGCCAGCAGTCATTATTGCAATCACAATGGAATTAAAAAAAAAAAAGATAAAAGATTAAAACCTTTATTATTTTGTTTCATTTTTTACATTGTTGTTGTTGTTTGCCGGTTCATGACGAAAATCTTCTTCATCCCAATATTCGTCACAAGCCGCCACTTGTGCCACCACAAGTTTTGGCTGTCTTTTTGTTTTTTCATATTCTTGTTCACGGAGATGGGCTTCCTTCTCCCATCGCCGATCCTGATCTCTCCTCCACTCGGCCTTGTGCACCTTAAATAAATGCGCACTAAGGCGATGAGCCAGACATTTATGTGCCGCATTATAAGGGCACTGTACAAAAAACTAAAAACAAAAACTAAAAATAAAAAAAAAACAAACAAAATAAAAAAAAATAAAAAAATAAAAAAAAAAATTAAAAAAA